TCTTCCTCATGCATAATCATGTTCACCAATGAAGTATGAATTCTCTCATCTAACATGGTATCATACACCTAAGGGGATCGTGTTTTTCCGCTGCGCCATCATCATCATCATCACCGCTATCGTCTTCATTTCGACGTTAGGTGCAAGTTTCTTCAACGAAGCATCAGTTTTTTTGTTCAGAAGTTTGCAGAGCAGAGAAACCGTTTTATAATTCCAATGGATAACGCTTGGCATAAATCGTTAAACGAAGAAGCTTTAGATAACGAAAGTCATATGTTACATGGTGTGATTCATTGCAATGGTTATGGCCATTTAATATGTCTTAATGGAATTGAAGGTGGTTTCAAATTTCTCAATGGGAGAGATATCATGGATTTATGGGACAAAATCATGGACTTATGAGGACTTCATCATCCGTGACAGAAGTTCACACATAAAAGACAGTTCTTCAATGAAAATCCATCTGTTGCTGCTTCAACTTCTTCATAAGTAACCGCAAACCTTCAATTCCATCATGTAACCGCAAACCTTACACTTCAATTGCAGCACTCAGTTTCGGCGATTAATCCATCCAATTCAATTCAGATTCTAACAAACAAGTGATTAACCATCAAATTCACTCATGATTCTATGTGAGTATTCATATTTTTGAAAATCAATTATAGAGAATCTCCCTTTCATTTCAATGATCAATTTGATTATATGCCATTGACCCTTTATAGTTTACTCATCCTCTATCAAGAAATTTTGATCAAAATTTGATCTTTTTCTCTTCCTGCTATAAACCCCTTTTTCACCATGTTGAATAATAATGGATACAAATCAAAGCAACGTAGTAGTACTGCTAGTGGTTACATTTGCATGATTCAAGTACTTGTTATGTCTTTTACATTTATGCTAATGCTAGTGATTCTCTTTTTAGTATTTGATAATGTTCATGATAATGATAATCATGGTGTCAAAGTAAAAGTAAAACCAAGTTTATCTTATGATTCTCATAAGCAAAAGTGGAATAGCTTGATTCTTTGGTGAAATTGCATCCCACAAGAGAGTTCAGGAATGGAACAGATTTGATATGGCAAGTACATGAATCACCTAAATGTGTTCTTTTTCTTGCTCATGGATGTAATGGAAAAGCCATTAAATTTTGGGACAAATCGTCTGAATGCCCTGATTGTGTCGGTTTGCCTGAAGAACGGTTGCTTGTACTTCACAGTCTTGCTGAAGGTTTTGCTGTTATTACTATATCAAGTGCGCATAGATGTTGGAGTTATGGAAATAATGAAGTTTTGATTGTTAAAGATATACTAGAATGGTGGATTGGTGAGAGGAAGCTTGAGAAACTTCCTCTTGTAGCTTTAGGTGCTTCATCGGAAGGTTATTTTGTATCTTTGCTTGCAACTGTTAAGAAGTTTAATAGTATTGTGCTTATGATTGCTGAAGGGATGTTTGAAGAAATAGATATTGATGAGCATTTAGTTCCTCATGTCCAGGAAGAGCTAAACCTTGCATTTGCTTACCATGAGATGACAAGTGTGCATTCTGACCGAATTTTTAAATGGTTTAAATCTCATTTGAGCTTATTAGATTTTGCAATGCTCTTTGGTGTTTAAATTTCTGTTTGACTGTAAAAAATCTATAGCATATTGACATGTATGTATTTCATTGAAAGATGAAATCAGTTTTATTCAAAGAGAATGCGGACCTATCTTTTTGTTCAATCTCAAGGGCTAGAATTTCTCAACTATGTAATACTGCCAGAATTTTTCAATATGTTCTTCATCATTGCATTGCTTATCTCCTATTTTGTCGATGATTTTGTTACTGCTTATATCAGTTTCATCCATGCTAAGAATGAATGTTGAGGAGATTTAGAATGAACCATAGATATATTGTTCAGTAGAATATCATGATGTCATTTGATCCATGTTAATTACCATATTTTTGTTAAGAATGGTTTTGCGACGGTTAATAATATATGACATAGTGTCTTGGGTTTATTTTGGTTAGTTTGTGATTATGAGGCTAGAGTGTAACTTTTGTCTTTTAATGGCATCTGATTCTATTGTTGTAAATATTTGTATTTAAAGTGTTTGCTTTTTTTTTTATTATAGGATTTGCTTTGAACTTTACTGTTGTATCTATCTATGTCTATTTTTTTGAAGAAATGGATAAGTCATGGATTACTAAGCCACAATCATCGATTTCATATCAGCAAGGGATAAAAGAATTTGTTGATTTTTCATTTAAAGGTGCAAAAGAAAATGATGTAGTAATATGCCCTTGCAAACACTGTGATTTCAAATAATCAAAGAGTAGGAGTGACATGTTCGACCACTTAATGTGGTCACCATTTCCGCAGGGATACACCATGTGGATTCATCATGGAGAGTCCTTTGTTGTACCTAGTACTAATCAAAATATGGTTGAAGATACTATCATTTTCGAAGATCCTATTCATAACATGATCAATGATGCATTTGTAGTTGATATGTATCATGCTAATGAAATACCATCTGCGTCAAATTTAGAGATTGGCCAAGAAGATTATGTGAGGCTAAGTGCAACTCAGAAAAGAAACGAAGCCAAGGAGTACTATGAATTGACTAGAGAAGGAGAACAACCTTTGTATGAAGGGTGTAGACGATATTCAAGACTATCTTTTTTGGTTAAGTTGTACCATATAAAGTGTTTATGTGGATTGAGTGAGAAGGCAATGACAATGATTTTAGAGTAGTTAAAGATGCATTTGAATATGCAAACATTCCAGGTTCGTTTCATGAAGCCAAGAAATCAATCACAAAACTTGGTTTGAATTATGTAAAGATACCTGCATGTCCAAACAGTTGTATGCTTTATTGAGGAGAAGATGAAGAAAGGGAGACTTGAAAAAATTGCAACACTTCAAAATGGAAAAAAAATGAAGCGGTCTTTGTTAACAAGAAAAAGAAAAAAAATTCCTGCCAAGGTTCTTCGTTATTTTTCATTAAAACCTCGATTACAGAGATTATTTTTGTCATCAAAGACGGACGAGGATATGAGATGGCACGCAACAGATGCTAACAACGATGGAATGTTGAGGCATCCTAGAGATTCAGAAGCTTGGAAGAAATTTGACTTGACACATACTTGGTTTTCATCAGATCCGCGAAATGTGCGTCTTGCATTGGCTAGTGATAGTTTTAATCCTTTTGGTGTGATGAGTACAAACAATAGTATTTGGCCAGTTGTTCTCATTCCATATAACACTCCTCCATGGGTTTGCATGAAACAGACATCATTTATAATGTCAATGATAATTCCCGGAAAAGAAGCATCAGGAAATAATATTGATGTCTACTTACAACCCTTAGTCGAAGAGCTTAAAGAGTTATGGACAAATGGTGTGGATACATACGATTCTTTCAAGAAAGAGGTGTTCAAGTTGCATGCAAATTTGATGTGGACGATTAGTGACTTTCCAGGTATGGGCACACTTTCTGGGTGGAACACATACACAAGGTTTGCTTGCCCATCGTGTAACTTTCAAACTACACCTCTCCGTCTTAAAGCTAGCCACAAATGGTGTTTTATGGGTCATCGTTGTTTCCTTGATCGGGGACACAAATTTAGATTGAACAGGATCCGCTTTAATGGTGAACAAGAAATACAGAGTCCACCGAGAACATTATCTGGACATGAAGTTTTTGAACAGGTTAAAGATATTGAAGTCATCTTTGGTAAAAAGCCAGTGAAAGAAAAATCACTAAAAAAAACATTTGAGGGACAACCTATAGAAGGTGATAGTACATAGTGTGATCCTACACTAGGTCACCCTCAACAATGGAGAAAAAAGAGCATATTTTTTAAACTTCCGTATTTGAAGGATAATCTTCTGCGCCATAATCTTGATCCAATGCATATTGAGAAGAATGTGTGTGATAATGTCCTATTTACTTTACTAAATGATAGGCAAAAGAGTAAAGACAATTCTAAAGCTAGAGATGACCTTCAAAACATGGGTATAAGACCTGATCTTTGGCCTGATGAAAATGGTAGAATTTCTCTGGCAGCCTTTAGTTTAATGGGTAAAGATAAAAGGAATTTTTTAACAACTTTAAGGAATATTAGGGTGCCTGATGGTTATTCGAGCAACATTTCTAGATGCATTGACTTAGTAAATCTCAAGGTGAATAGAATGATCAAGAGTCATGATTGTCATATATTAATGGAACAACTCCTACCATTAACCATTCGCAACACATTACCTCATGAGATTTCAGCAGTTTTGATTGAGTTGTGCTCATTCTTTAGACAATTATGTGCCAAGGTATTGAAAATTGAAGAATTGGAAAAATTGCAAAACCAAATTGTCCTTACTTTATGCCACATGGAAATGTTATTTCCTCCCTCGTTCTTCACGGTTATGGTTCACTTGGTTGTTCACCTTGTTGAAGAAGTTAAACTTGGAGGTCCTGTTCATTATCGATGGATGTATCCTGTTGAAAGGTAAACTATGTGATTTTATTTTATTGTTACTAACTTAGAAAGTAGAAAGATTTTTTTAACCGATAGTATTGTGGTTCAATAATAGATACTTGGGAAAACTTAAATCGCATGTACGTAATAAGGCAAAACCAGAAGGGTCTATTGCAGAAGGATACCGTTTTGAAGAGATTCTTACATTTTGTTCAAGATATCTAGAAAATATTGAAATTAGATGGAATCAACCTGGACGTGTAGATGATGACCCTATTGGTGATATCCAAACAGGACCACGTGTAGCCGAATTTTTTCCTATATTTGGAAAACCCGTGGGTGGATCTTCTTATTACACCCTAACACCAATTGAAAAGTTGTAGGCTCATAGACACATTTTAACGAATTTTCCAATAGTTGACGACTATCTAAAGTAAGTAGTTTTATGCCATATAAGTAGTTTCGTTTGCACTATTAATATTTTTTTTACATCTAATATCAAATAACCAAATAGGCAGTTCTGAAGTATTACTCAGAATCAAATGAAGCATAGTCAAAGAAGTGTTGCTGAGATAGATAAGAAGGTTCATAGAGAATTTGCTCACTGGTTCCGCAATCGTGTGAGTTTTTGTACAAAAATAGATGTTTTAATTGAATTGGATTTTAATAATAACAACACTAATTGGATGTTGTATCGTGTATAGATTTGCAACAATCTTGACAACATTCATGGACCAGATAAAGATGTTCTCATTAGCCTTGCTTATGGCCCTTTTGATAAAGTTAAAAGATTTACTGCGTTCAATGTCAATGGATTCAAATTTCGAACATTGGAACTAGATAATCTTTTAAAAACTCAACATAGTGGCGTTTTTGGCTTGTTTGGGACACAAAGTTATTCAAGCAATAGTGATACCCAAATGAGATTTGGAGGGGTCCCTTACTATGGAACATTGGTAGACATTATTGTGCTTTCCTACGATGGCTTCAAAGTGCCCATGTTTAAATGTGAATGGGCTAATGCCACAAACCCAAGAGGCATTAAGATAGATAAGTTGGGTTTTACTTCTATAAACTTTACAAAACTACTACATTATGGGGAACATGAAGATAATGAGCCGTACATTCAAGCGTCAGAAGCTCAGATGGTTTTTTATGTGGATGATGAGAATGAACAAGGGTGGAGCATACCTGTTCATTTGAAGCCAAGAGACTTGTATGACATGGGTGGAAATGATGAAATTATGTCACCCATTGAGCCATATCCATCACAAAATTCGGAACAAATTTTTTTTAATAATGATATTGGAACTTCATCAGCAAATGATAACAATAATTAACATATAGTTTTTTATTGATAAGAAATTTAGTTTGTTGGTATAATTAATATTATTGTGTGAGACTTATGGTTTTTGTTTTTTATCCCTAGTTAATGTATGAGATGACATTATTACTTTATGCTTTTTGTTGTTTATCCATAATTAATGTGTGAGATGACATTACCACTCTATATTTTATTGCATAAATTATCCTTTTAATTTATTGTGTTTGCGTTATGTTTATTAAATTTATAGTCACTAATATAAAATTTTGATGTTTACTATTATTAGTGTACTATCTTTTTAATACATATACTTGCAGTTGAAGCCTTTTGTGAGACAATGATTTCATCATATGAGGAAATTCGCCTCAAAAGGATTGCAGAGAATAAGAAAAAGCTAGAGGCTCTCAATCTTCCAAAGCTCTCTCAATCCCTTCACAAAACATCTTCGTCTTCTTCCAAACCATCACCGGTTAGTAATAAATTCTCAATACTAGTCTATAAAAATTAATTGTATTATTGTTGATTGATATTCACCGATGTATTTTATTTAGTCTGTGAAGGGTCGTCCGAGGTTTGTACAACCTGGAGAGCTTGAAGTAAACAAGAAGCGCCTATGTTCAACTACAATGTGCAAATCATCAATAATCCCTCCGTCAATCAAAACTACAATAACTCTTCCGCCAGTCCAAACTAAAATTACCCCTCTGCCAATTGAAACTACAATAACCCATTTGCCAATCCAAACTGCAAAAGATGTTGTGGTAGAAGATAAGGATGAAGATGACGTGGTAGGAGATGAGGCTGAAGATGTTGTGGTAGGAGATGAGGCTGAAGATGTTGTGGTAGGAGATGTGACTGAAGATGTTGTAAAAGTGGCTAAATCTGTGTATTGGGATGTAAATGTCATTAGTAAGTAATTTAAGGTTAAAGTATTTGTAAATAATTTAATTTTTTTACATAGTTGAGTTATGACATTAATTTGTTTACTTGTTTATGTGATAGATGAGGAAGGTTATGTTTCAAACAAACGTTTATGTGTGAAAGACTTGGTTGCAAAATCAAAGTCTGATGGAACATGGATAATACTTGAATTTGATAAGGATCATTGTGCAATAGGACCAACTTCTGGTTTGTTAGCAGGGTATTTGGGTATAATTATTAGAATGTTTAAAGAATTTCCCATAATGTTCGAGAGTTGGAAGGATATTCCAGCGGATACAAAAACAAAGTTTTATGATTCAAAGATAAAGGTATCATTAATAAACAATTACATATTTTTTAAATTAATTTCAAGGTGATTATTATTTGCTTTGTTAAGTATTTTTTTTTATGGTTAGCTCCACTTTCTTGTTGATGATGGGCGTGAAAAAGAATTCATACTTGCTTCTGCTGCAAAGAAATGGAAGAATGACCGACATCAATTGCTTCGCTAATTTTATAGATGGGATCTCACTTTGGAGGAAAATCTTCAAAATTATCCAATATGCAGAGGCATTCTGGAAAATGATTGGGCTGTTTTTGTTCAATATAGGCGGAAAGAAAAAACACAGGTAATATTAGTGCTTTTATTTGTTACATTTATCTGGTTTGTATGTTATCCCTATCTATAACGCATGTTTTTAATTGTTAACTATGTAGAGAATAGCTCAAAAAATGCCCAAAATAGAGCAAAATTGAAGACTCCACATACACTCGGATCTAAGTCGCTTGCAAGGAAGAAACATGAGTTGGTATGTCTAAATTTATATAGAGTTGAATGTATTACTGATGGTAAAAATAATTAATATATTTTCTTATTTGTAGGAATCGAGACATGGACGAACATACAGTAGAGGAGAAATGTATGCAGTTTCTCATAAAAAGTCTGACGGGTCTTTTGTCAGTGAATATGCATATAATAATAATGTAAGTACACGTTAATTCTTTTTAAATATTTGTTAGTCTCCTTAAGGTATGAGAAAAAATCAAACCTTTTGGCATCTCTTAAAGGTGGGGAGAACGTGTCTGAAAATTGATTAAATTAGATTGAGAATTGTGATTATTTGAGTTAATTAATTAGTCTTGTAACAATAGATTGTGCTCTTTATAAAGTCAACTAATTATTCAGACAAATAGAAATAAAATATAAAATTAAGACAAGATTACATTTTATATATGATGTGAAAACATATAATTCTACTAGTTACATACTTGTGTGCCTTATATGAGAATAGTTGGTAACATATATTTTCACTAAAGCATAACTTTTACAAATACTGGAATTCAAATTTTAAATAAATACAAGTAGTAAGATGAAAGTTTAACATGTATACAAATTTTACATAATCAAATATGTTATTGGAATTGAAACTTACCATCACAAATGCATACTGGAATTGAAATTTTAAATAATTCGAGCAGCCAATAAAACTTGTTGGAATTGAAATTTACCATCACAAATAGATTAACTAGCTAAACCAAGTTTTAAATTACTAAACATCTTTTTCATCAATACAAATTTATCAGTTTTTACTTATAATCATTGTTTGTTTCCCCTTAAGACGTAGAAATTCTTTTATTAGATAGATTAAAAAGTTAAGTTAAGTTTGCTTGCTCAATTTACTCTTTTTCATGTGCAGGAAAAGTTACAAGCTGCAATTAAGGATTCTGTGTCTGAAAATGAGGCATTTCAGAAAGTATTTGGAAAAGAACAACATGGATATGTTCGTAGTATGGGACTTGGAGTTACGCCATCTCATATTAATAGATCTACAAGATCGACATCTTCTTCTGCAGAAAATGAAAAAATAAAGGAAATGCAGCAAGAAATTATTGAACTTAACGAAAAAATTCAAAAATTGATGAATTGATGGAGGCAATCACATTCTTAAAGCAAAGAGACAATGCTATGAAAGAAGAAATTGAAGTCTTAATGCAAATGCAAAATTCTAGTGGAAGACAGATATATTATTTTGATGAATTTAAAGTTAAAGCTTCGGAGTATTATTTTAAAGAATATTATTTTAATACAATTTTTTTCCAGGGATTGGAATCACCTACTGATGGTAGACGTTCATCTGAGTCTAGCTACCGAATTCCATAATGACATACTTTCTAGATTATGAACCTTCTTATTCATTTTTGGCACAATGATACTTATTGTTATAAGATTATGATTTGATATGTTTTCGAATTTTTGTATTACATGACATGATTATGGAACTTTCATTTTACATGATTATGAAACTCACGTTTTTCCGATATTATAATGTTTATTTGATATTAAGTTTTGGAATTAATTTTACTACGCTAAAAGCGATAGAAAAAAATTTTAAAAAACAAAACTATAAATAAAAATATTATTGTATAAATAATTTAAAGAAAAAATAATATAACTATTTTAGTATATAATAATTTAAATGAAAGAATATATTATAAAACAATATAATACAATATATAAAAATTAATAATGAACCGTCAAGATATCACATTCACGACAGTTTTAAACCGTCGCAATCAACAATGGTAACAAAAATCAAAAGGATATTCACGACAGTATTTAACTGTTGTCATTTCCAATTTATGTCAGTTCCAACCAGTCGTGAAATAGAGTTCACGACAGTTTTAAACCGTCACAATCAACAATGAAAATAAAAATCAAAAGGCTAGTAACGACGGTCTTTAACCGTCGCTATCTCCAGTTTAGGTCAGTTCAAGCCCGTCGTGAAATATAACGACGGTTGTGTGTGACAGTTTTTTCAACCGTCGCTAAATAGCCCGGGGACACACGTTTCTGCGACGGTACTACAACCGTCGTAGAATGTAATTGGGTGTGGTTTTAACCTTCGTAACCTGCCAAAATAACCGTCACAATCCATCATTTTTCTTGTAGTGACGCGACGAACAAACCACACTGGGGAACACGACGCACTGAGGAATTCTAAAGCGATGGTCAACTGGTGCGAGCACGACAAATTGTCACTTTTAGAAAGGGAATGGTAAGAATGAGATCCTCAATGGAGATGGCACCGGTGAGACGGCCTCCACTGGGGAATATCTAAGAGTAATTGTTCAACAGGTTCATGCGTGACCGGCTGATACTCTAGGGTAAAAAGATAAAACTGGCTCTGCACGACTGTAGGATCGATTAACAAGATATTGGAGCATTGAGCAAAGAATAACATCCGAGCTTCTGGAACCTTCTCCCTCGTGACAAGATCAGACGGAATTTTTAGGATTCCGTAGAAAATATACAGGGTAAAAACCGGATGTATGCCAAAATAAATGGACTTTAATGGGAAATGCCCTGACAAGCTTTCTCGAGAGAGAACTGCCACTTATCGTTGGAAGGGAATTATATGCCAAACTGGATAAGATCTCAAACAAAGAGGCTGCTGCTTATCTGTGGATAATAGATTGATAAAATAAACTTCTTCACATATCAGTTTTGTGCTCTCTGAACATGATTCGGTTTCTTCTTTTGCTAAAGGATAAAATGAACTTCTTCATAATTCAAGATCTGTGCTCTCCTGAATATGATTCAGTTCAAACCTCCCCGCACTTCACGATGAAACGGAAAATGGAAACCAAGTTGCTAGATGGAGATGGACATTTGCTGCAAGTCATAACAAAGATAGGATAAGCTCCTCAGGCGAGAAATACCGCTTATTTATAGGCTTCTCGAGTGAGAACTTCTTGTAGAGGTGGTAACAGGTAATGTAAATTTTAATGAAGATTGTAATGAAGGTTGTAATGAAAGTTGTAATGAAATAATGAGCTTCTTGTACGAGAAGATCAACTGTAGAGTGTAAGGAAAAATTGTAAAGTGTAATGTATGTGATGATAGGCTTCTCGGCTGAGAACAGTCGCATACCGGTTGTTGCAATGTTTGTACTGTAATGACAATTTTAGTGTGATGATACGCTTCTCAGAAGAGAACTGTCGCCTATCCGTAAAGGATTGTGAAGGCTTTTCTTGAAAGATAGTGAAAAATAAATGCACGTCCAGGTATGTTCGGCGATCGATGGGACCGAAGTT